GAATCTGGGGGTCAGAGGTCATAGCACGACCAAATCACATGGCTTATTAATATCTATATGAATAAGTAGGCCACAGTGTTAAAAAATGATATCTTGATAAAAGATTAGCATTTTGTGAAGCATTTCTCATTCTTTTAAGATGTAAAATGACATTTCCTCAATAAATTTCTCAGTAAAGATGTTTAATTCTAAGTAGTTTCACTGCTTGAAAAAACACCTTTACAAAACTTTACTTGCGAAGTAAATTTCATTAAAGGTGCTCCAAAAACCAAGGTCATCTTTGTTTTAATTTTACAAAAAGTAAAGGTGAAAAGGTAACCTTTACTTACACGAAAAGATAATTAAATATAACCTTTTATCTTTAATGCCATATTAAAGTTCATTAAATATACATATTTTATAAAAGTCTTATTTAAATGCTGACTATTGTTTAATACACTTATTCTTTGGATTTTCACAGTTAGTTTAAAGAATCTAATCTTGTCAGTACCCAGAATTTTAAGACAAATGTCAAATATTTTTTATATTATCTTGTATCCATTTCCAGTTGAAATCAGTATTAGAAATGGTCATCTACAGATTCAAACACTCGACTTATCATTATTTGACAGAATACACCTCAAATAATACAACACCTATGCTGTAAGCCAGGTTAGCTTAGCTGAAGCAGCTGGCGTTTATTTTGATACATGTAACAATACATAAATATTTAACACACATTACATTGAATGTGAAACAATTATAAGCACTGCAATGCATTTGTAAAATTTTTTACATGAAATAAATTGTATCCCTATCACTGACATTAAAAACCGCCCAGGCAAAAACCATAGATGGTTAACTATGGAAAACCTGTGTCCGTCGCTATGTAAATAATGTCTCAAAGGAGAATGCCGGACATGCATTCGGTGCAATAGTTAAAAATGCACAAACATCCTATTATATTTGCCTGTATGAAAAAATCCAAATTAAAATACATTTCAACAGTTTTGTTATTTCCATTACCAGTATATTTATACAAATATGATATATATAAAGCAAAAAAAAAAACGTGTGTGTATTGAAGAGCACTGGCTTAGAATGATATGAACATATTACTGAATACTCATTTTTCATTGGCTTTCCTTTGGCCACGCCCACATATACAACCAAAACCATTAAAGCTGACATGAACTCTTAAAAAGGCATCATTTTTCATCTTTGTACGACTTACTACATTCCTGTACGCCTTTGTCCGCCATATTTCTTCGATTCCGCCATATTTAATCGAACATTTTTGGCCACCTGTACCTGCTATATATAGCCTTTTACAATTGTTTCACTTGAGTGATTTTCTATCCTGGCTGTCGACATGTGCACATCTCCGATAGCATAGTTTTTAGAAGTCAATAAACTGACCAATACATGTTTGAAAAGTAAAAATTCAACAAAAACTAGAACTATACCGAGAATTAAATTATTTTTGAATGCATTTGCTGCAATATAGAAAATACACTTTCACGGAATACATTCAAGTAGAGCAAAAATTCCATGCAGGTCAGTCGAGAAAACGCGTCAAACGCAGTGATAGAAATATTTACCTGAGTATTGCTATCGTTACAGGGATGTGCACATGTCGAAAGAATTATCCTATTTTACTTTTATTGAAAAATGCATCTCAGAAATCATGTAATCCATTGCTAACTCAACAGTAAAAACTGCTTGGACACACGTGGTCCATGCCGATCATTTTATTTGGTCAGGGAAAATATCAAAGGTTGAAAGCGCCGTGGAGTTGACTGAAGAAAATGCAAATAATTTTTTTTTAAAGAATAAACATTAATCTTGTCTGTAAATGAAATAATGTAAATAAAATTTTTGAAAACATGGTTTAACTTCATCAAATTTATAACAAAGCATGCATTATTACGAATCATTCACCTTTTGAAGATATGAAGATATTCTCCTGTGAAAGGGGGGGGGGGTAATAAAACATGCATAACATTCTCATAAAAATGTTTTAAGAAAAACGTCTGAAACAGATCGGATTTCTTTATGATCAAATATATTCAAATAAATACTGTGTATTGACTTTATTAGACCTAATATAATTTGATTTAAAGTTGTTTATAATTTTATGCACAATGAAAGAAAAAGTGAGCAAATTCACATACCCCACGCTCCCACAAAAGTCGAAGTGTTGAAATTCACAGAAAAAATAAAGGAATCGTAATTTCCTTGTAATATGCCCATATATACACATTGTATCCTAAATATCTGCAAAGTTTGACGAAATTGTGTGCAGCGGTTTATGAGGAATTGCCCTGACAAACTGCTCATCTTTATATTCAAGATATCGCCAAAATCTAAATGTAAAAGTGCGGAAATTCCCGAAAAAATAAAGATTTCGGAATTTCCTGGTAATGTGCAAATACAGACACATTGACTCCTTTAAATATCTCGAAAGTTCGACAAAATTCTGTGCATTAGTTTATAAGAAGTTGCACTGACCAAAAAAAAAAAGGGCTGACTGATGGGTCCAAAACATTATACCTCACGCAACTTGTTGCGAGGGGTATAATAAACGAGTTTGATTCTGTGGTACAATGATAATGAAAATAGAATTTAATTTGAATTAAATTTCTAGACATAAATAATTAATGATTACTAGAAAAAGCAGATAAAATGAGAGAGGAAACCCCCCGCGAGGATTTCCGCATTCTTCCTACAATTACCTTTATAAAAATTCTATTGTCTTTTGTCCAGGTTCAGCATATACATGTAAGTGTTGGAACCAGGGGGTGGCTTTTGTACAAATATATACTTAGTATAGACATTGAATATTGCTGTGTAGTCCCCCCCCCCCCCCGGGGGGGGTATCATTTAGAGAGCTCATTGCTCACAATACCTCTAGTTTCTCTTTCAATTTGGCCGTTTGGGTTAACTTCTCGTCCAAATTAAAATTATTATTCAATTTATGAAGTTTCGACATCCCGCCTGAAAAAAAAAAAATCCTTGATCTGTCCTAAAGCTTAATAAATGGACAGCACAAAGTGCATAGGATCTTATACCTATTATTGCTCTAAGAGATGGCTACAGAGTGAGAGAGAGAGAGGGAGAGAAAGAAAGAGAGAGAGTTCAATATACAAAAGAGTAAATAAAAATTATCCGTATTCAACCAGTGTCAAGACTCCCTACCCTAGCTTTTAAAATTATCTCCCAAATATTTTACAGAAATTATTTTTAAATATATAAAAAAAAAAAAAATAGCTAGACTATCAGGCAGGGATACTGAAATCTCGAAAGTCTCTCTTTAACACCATAATTATAAAACATTTATACATACCTCAAAATGCACATACATTTCAAAATTGAATTCGGCAGAGATGTCTGTCTTCCAAGAATATTTAGATTACGGTCATGTCAATTATTTTTGCACCCCCCCCCCCCCCTATAAAATCAAATGCCTAAATGTCAATCTGAACAGGGGATGGCATTTCTTCGTGTGTTTGTGTGTTAAAGAACGTATAGATCTATGTACACATAAAAATTGTATTTTGGTTAATTGCTTTTAAGATTTGAAGTAAATAATTACCGTACATCAAATTACTTGGTTTAGATTAGAGATTAGTACTATAATAATCAGTTATAATTGACAAATGAATTTTGCGACGCAAACCAACTGCAGACTATATACATGACTTTGTATAGAATGTATATTAGAACTACATGTAGATAGACAATTCACAATTATAGCTTATGAATAGCAGTTATAATACCCCCCCCCCCCCCTTCAGCCGCGCAAATAACTTCTCTTTCCACTTGTGATATTTTCCCTGACCAAAATCTGATCAGCACGGACTAGGTGTATCGACGTGCTTGTCTGTACGGAGTAATGACAGTGTGTTTACTATTGAGCTTTTACGGAGTTTATTTCTTTTTTGTGATGCATATTTCAATAAATGGAATTCAGGGTGTATATCACTTGACTTGTGCACATCTTCGAACCGATGCAGTAACCTCATTACCAGGTATGGGTACGTTTACAGCGTTCGAGGCGTTTTCTCGATATGCACCAATTGCATAGGGGCTGCAAATCAAAGACGTTGGTTGTTTTGTGCCATTCAAATGATAATAATTTTAAAATGTGTTTGCAGATTTTACTGCTTTTTATTTCAAGTTTATTCTGCATAAATTGGCGCACTGTAAAAATACGTACTCGTGCATCTAAATTTCTCACCAAACTTGCTTTTTTTTGTTTTGATTCAAATCAATAATTATTCAGAAATATGATTATTACTTTGTTTATAGTGGTTTTGAAATGTCTTGATCTTCTTATTTGTTCTCATATATGCTTTACCATCGGAGATGTGCACAAGTCGATACCCAAACCAAAAAATCATTCAACTGTAACGAGCGCATTGGGGTATACATCGTTACAATGAGACAAGGTATCTGAAAGAAATATGGCGGAATACGGCTATCGTTGGTATGAAACAAGTCGTACATAGATGAAAATGTTGCGTTTTTAAGAATTCATGTCAGCTTTAATATACATTCCTCGCATACAATGTGTTCCCGCTATACTGCGAAACACAGGAAAAAAATATTATCTGCACCAGGATTGCCTACAACTCTCTGAATTTGATGGCATAGACCTTTAATATGTACATTGATATTAATGATAGAGTAATTAATAATATAACAATGGGGAAAATTGGCATATTGATATTTTTCATTTTCCAAAAAAAAAAAAATGATCTAAAATATTCTGTATTTTTGTTTCTCATCATATGATGAGTCAGATATACAGCACAAACAATATCCAGTCAAAACCTTGAATATAAACATTATATTGAGCTATCTTTGACTTTTGTTTTCCTTTAAACATTTAGATACATGTGAAAAAAAAATGCAGATGACAAGTATAAATGCATGTACATATATAAAATAAACTTTGCAGTTTAAATTGAATTAAAAATGTGGAAAAAATTACATTAAAGGCTATTTGATTTGCGTTTATATACAGGCTAATAACATCTTCAACTTGTAATGCAAAATGATGCATTTTACATATTCACAAACACAAAATATGGTGAAAAATCTATTAGAATAGATGTGAGGATGCAGTTTGCAAAATGCATGAGATCATGTACGAGTTCAGCTTCACCCAGCGAGCCTGTCTGTGCTTGATTTAGTTTAGATTACGTTTTTATGTCTGTGGTAAATGTTCGTGTATTTGCATATGTGTCCAGCTTCACACATTTTCATGTATGTGCTCGACTTCACACGCCTTGGAAAATATGTAATAGGTTGTGGCAGATGCATGTGTATTTGTGTATGTGTCCAGCTTCACACATTTTCATGTATGTGCTCGACTTCACACACCTTTGAAAATATGTAATAGGTTATGGTAGATGCATGTTTGCATATGTATCCATCTTCACGCATTTTCATTGTGTGCTCGATTTACACGTCATAAATGTAAAATATTTAACCATTGTGGTGTAAAACGTTTACAAGTGTATGATGCACAAAGAGAAAAAAAGGTCTGTGTGTTTTGTTCTGCAAATCTGCATATAAATAAACTACAGTTATGTCCTGTTGAGAAACTGACAATCATGATAAGTAACATATCATTTTACATAACTGTATTGAAAATAACACATCCAGTTTAAATTACTGTACTGAAAATTGAATTTGTGCAAAAACTCTCTGGCTGAATAACATTCAAAACTATGAATGCTTGCATGTTCATCTGTAAATCTCCAAGATATTTCCTAGTTAGTTTGTAGCGCCGCACCGGGCGGTCTTGCAACATATTTCATAATGTCAGTTTGCATGAATAAATCAATTTATCCTTCTTCCTCATATCTTGAAAATAGATGCCAAAATTCTAGTCTACAGTTTATTTACACAGCACATCACAAATAAAAACATTTAGGAAAAATAATTCACTAAAATTAAAATCCAAGTAAAATAATCACATGTACATATAAATCCAAGAAAAATTAGGTAATATTCCAAGTAAGTAAGTAACTTTATCTATCTCTAACAGTTCTATCTACTAAGTCTTCCTTATTTCCATCTTCCTATCTTATTCTAAAATTCTGTCGCACTATAGATATACTCAAGATCCGCTCCTGACGATCAGGAGCACATTATGAGATCCTTAAGATCAGGAATCAATACACAGGTCATTACGATCAGCAGGGGGTTATATAAGAGGGGGTGATTAATATACAGATAAGATGATAATGTGTAAACAATTAAGTATTGAAGAGTTATATTACAAATAAGATATTCTAAATCGCTACAAGTTTACAAATTCTTGATCATATCATTGATAACAGTACATTTTCTTGATCATGACATCTGTATTGGATTCCCCTCTCTGACATCTTTTCTTGTTCACCAATTAGTTCAACAGTCATTTGGGTACTCAGGTGTTGTACAAGTCCTAATAATAATTATTTTCAAAATTATAAAGAAAAACAATACAATTTTTAAATAGGTTTTCATTACTTCTATTGAAATTAAAGCACAAGCTTTTGAAGACATACTTAAGTAACTTAAAACATGTATAACTAAACATAATGGAAATTTAGACAAAGCTACTCAATGTCAAACATATGATAGTGATACATCTGTAATATCCATGAAACTTACTGAGATACTCAAAATGTTTGTGGTGTGCTTTCACTAAGCTTAGCAATATATAAACATCTCTTGATTACACGTTGAAGTCCAGTTCTCACCTGACTTGCACATTCATATGGGTTGGTTCTATGTTGATAATCTCTTTCAACAATCTTCATCACAACATCTGAAAGTCATCCATCTTCAAAATTAAATCTGACGCTCACCTCTCAAGTGTATATAGATTCCCTGTACAAATGCATGGAAAATAAGATTTTGAATAAAAAATGAATTATCTCTTCACCATACCTGGCCTTTTTAAAAAATGTGAAGAAATAATTTAAATTTTTCTTTAGATAAAATCATGTAGTGAGTATCCAACAATGTTGAAAAAAAGTTATATCTAGAATTTTACATTTATATTGAATGAAAAATGCATTGTTCCCTCTACTTAAAAAAACTCAAAAGACATTACCTAAAATAAGGTACAACTGTGACTGGTGTCTCAGGCATAACCAATAAACACAAGACCTTTCCATCCTTACCAGCATGCATTAGCTCCACATTCCTTGCTTCTACAAAAAATATACAATGATTATTGAAAATTAAAAAAAAAAATGAGAGCGAAGAGTGTTACATGTACTTGGGGGAACAGAGGAAGGAATTTTGAAGTCAGATTAATTATATTTCTGCCAGTGTTGGGACGGATAAATTTCCATAATAAAATGAAACGAATTATTCGCAACAAATAAGACACATGTATTACCTTGCAGTCATCGGCCCACATAATGTATACAACTGACAACATCCCAAATTCCTTTCTTTGTTGTTTACTTGGCGGAATTTTCTTTGCCTTCAAGACTGGTTCCCTGCTCTGGTTCCCATACATTGCCGTGAATAAGTCCTACGTTTATTGGTTTTGTTTACAAGCTTCAACATCAATAAAATCTCCAGCACATTTACAGCCTGTATTGTAAACTACACTGAAAACATACTTTACACACAATTTTCAGCTCAGTATTATGTTATCCTCTTCATTCAAGTAATATGTAAACTCTTCTCGAATGTAAAACGAACGATCTACTCTAAACAGTAACCCAAATATGGCACTGTGTATTCGGTTGAATAGCCAATCATTTCAAATCAAGTTGAGCGGGTCTGCATCGTTATTTTGACGAAGTTTGAAACCGGTGGTAATTTTTTGACACTTCATCTAGATTTAAGAAGATTCTTGCCTTGACAACTGCTCGAACTCCCGGGTTGGCATGCTCTAAAGGTTTGTTTACGATTTCCAGCCGTTTTCACTTTCACTCTCAGATCAGTACATTGTGCATGTTGTGAAAGAATGAAACTAATCAAAGTCACGCAAAACGACGCTTTGTATGTTATTTTCTGCTAGGATATTAGATAAGTATTTTTGATAATTTGGGGATTAAATGTTTATGTGCGTCACTTTATTCTGTAAAGGTGTATGGATCATAGGGGCTTGTCTTCCGGATTGATAAATGTAAAATATTTTTCTTAAAATTTGTATCTACATTTAATACACTCTAAAAGTTGCTTTAATAAAGATTCTGATCAGGCAAGAAACATAATGTTTTTAAAAAAGTACTACACCTATATACATAAACTCTCAACTTTGAGAGTTTATTTATTTTCATTTATATCATTTTGTATTTTAAACTGTGTCCATTTTTTAAAACACAGGTATAGTGAATTCAGTATGCAGATTATTGAAGGGAAAACATCAAGACGGGCGGTGTCTTCTAGCTATTCCCACTTTTTAAAAACCTCAATTCCACCTATTCCCACTTGCAAATAGCAATAGATGTTTTGATCAGTTAAATTGGTTTTAACAGTAATTAGACTAATTGCATCCCATCTAAGATTCACCTGTATTTTACCAGTATTTTGTACATTTTAAGACAGAAAATAAATATATATTTTATAATATCAAAAAAATATATAAAATATACTTAACACTGAAATAAGAAATATTTGTTCAGTAATAATGAAAAAGTCTAATTTCTCATTGATATAGAAGTAAAAAGTAAGATTTTTTAAAAAATAAATAATTTATATGCTATTTTTATTTGAAAAAGTATAATTTCTCATTGAAATAGAAGTAAAAAGCCAATTTGAAAAAAATAAATAATTTATTTGCTATTTTTATTTGAAAAAGTCTAATTTCTCATTGAAATAGAAGTAAAAAGCCAGACCTTTAAATTAAAAATAGCAAATTTACCTGTCCTCAACTCCCAGTGGTTTAATAATTACTGTTTTCACAGTAATGACATGATTATTCAGCTAATTATTTGTTTGCATAAAAATTCCACCTACTCCCACGTGAAATTTCACTTTTTTCTACCTGATTTTCAAAAAGTGGGAATAGCTTGCATAAACCAGACGGGCGAGGAAGACAACAAAACATGATTACCCAGATTGAGGATCCCAGTGTTCTTTGGTACAAGCACATTTTAATAATAAATTTCATGAAATCTGTTACTTGAACAAACATTTACATTATATAGTGCTTGACTTTCTCGGGAGTCAATATCGTCATATATTTGTAAAAAAAAAAATGTTCAATTTCCTTTGTATAGTCTCAAGCTACTCAGCCTACCATGAGAAAATTAAAAGATCTGTCATGAAGAAGAGGCGGGTTCTCAACTTTCATATTAAAAATGGCAAGTATTGTTTAGGACTAATTTTAGATTATTTTTGATAAAAAATAACATAAGGGTGTTTATCTATTCATACCTATTATATATGATTTCTTTCGTTTGAGGAACGAATGAGACAGAAATCAATTTCTACTTGGTGTGATAATGAATTACTTTTTCGGAATTACAAGGTTTTCATTCGAATACCTGGTGTATATCACGTGGTTCTTTAGAACCGGTCTCGTTAGCAAGGCTATATAAGAGGTGAATAGTGGTTTAAATACCAGTTTAGGACGACACGTAGAGCACGATAAAGTTTAAATTTTATCATGATTTATTCAATCCAACATAAACTTGTATATACAAATTGATTTTCATATTTTGCATTTGTTATGTACACCGCACAAATAAAGCTACTGCGTGTCGTTGCTATGTCCAAATGGTGTGTTTGTTGTTTATTGTACTTTCATTTGAAAGTAATGAATGGATTTAGAGTAGAATTGTGATTGCATTGTGTATTAATTTTCAAAATCAATTCATTCTTTGGTGACCAAGTGCAGCGGTTTGCTTCAAACTCATAATTTTTTATAAAAATATTGACTATATTTGTCCATATGTATAAAATGTTAATCACGGTATGAATTCTTTTTCAGCATGATTGTCATCTTCAATTTGAGGGACTCTCACCTAAAGTCCTTTTACTGTTCCATATCAGGAAAAAGTTCATGAGCTGAAACATGCGATTGGGGAAAAAGGTACATATATCCTGAACAATAACTTGAGTATTATTCTGTATACATGTACAGCTAAACTAAATATGTAGCACTATATTGTTCTCTTTGTAAACTGACAACTGAGTAGTCAAGAAACCTATGATTTCTCAATATTTCAGGGATTTATTCTTTGTTTTTGTATAGTACCCTTAAGAAATACATATTTCTCAAATTGTAATTTATAGGCTTTTTGTGATAAGAGATACATGACCTAACCCATTGATTCTTCATATAATATGTCAATAACAAGAGTTCCACTCATCTTAGTAAATTGATAAATTTACATTTTTTTGCTTTTTGAGGTTAAAGGTAATATATGAACTTTTTATTTATTAATTAGGTTGTGCCTTGTTTTTATTTTTAATAATAATGGTATTGTGAATTCTGATAACACAGACGCCTTTGAAAATATCCATACTTATGCATTGCACTGATAAAAATACTTTTTTTTTCTTTTAGGAAAAGCATTAGGAAAATGCCTGCATGGGGAGAAAAGTTTTGAACTCTGAAAAGGGAGGTGTGACAAAAACATTTTGACACTTCTTGATTTCCACTAAAACCAATATCCACAAGAAAGAGGACATAGTTTTATGTTGATTCACAACTTTAAATTTAAGAATGTACAGTTGGTTTTATTATAAAACATGTCACATACAAAAAAACATATTTGTGAAATGTACTCTGTCTTTGATATGTATGTAATTTGCAGGATAGGATGTGGGCAACATATACTGCCAAGAATCTTGATGATTTTGATCTTATGTTTGTAAAAAAATGTTTTTTTATTGTAATAAACAAAGTTAAAGTCAGCTTTTTGTTAATTTGTATATTAATTCTGATGTTTACATTTCCGCAAATTAACAATTTGGAAGAAAAAACTCATTTATAATTTGAATAAGGCTTCATTCACTGGAATGGAAAACGGAAATTATTAACTTTTGTGGTTATTAAAGATGGTAATTAATTAAATCTAAGGTTTGTAATCATCAGATTTGGGTTATTAAAGATGGTATTTAATCAAATTTAAGGTCTGTAATTATCAGATTTAATATATCTTAAATACTGTGTTTAATGGTTGTAAATATTTACTTTACTTTTTTTTTAAAGTCAAGATAAAGTGGGACATTACATCATATTTAAGTGCATGTAAAGTTAATGTAAAGGTTACCTTTTCCAACTTTGTCTTTTTTCAGAAACGCCAATTAAAGGCATTGTAAATAATAAATTTACATTATCTTCACTCGTTTTGTAAAGCCAAATTTTCACGCAGTGTTTGGTATTTAGACATGCTTGTCTGCTTTCTTACTCAACATGTAAATATACACCAAAATATGGCAAAGCATGGATATTTTGATCTAGGTGTAGAAGAGATTACTGAAGAATTATTATTGCTTTTTGATAAAAAAAAAAAATAATTGAAACCTTTACTTATCAAACTTGGAGGCTGTTTCTGACATTCCTAATATTGGTCTGATGAATTTTGAGTCAACTAAGCCAGCATTGATTTCCCTCCCAAAGCTAGAGACTCCAGCTGAATCCGAGAAAATATTTCGCTTCTTTATTGAAGGTGACATAGAAAGCAGTAGTTACAAGGTTCTAGGCAGTCAAAATCAATATTTCGCTTCTTTATTGAAGGTGACATAGAAAGCAGTAGTTACAAGGTTCTAGGCAGTCAAAATCAACCAAGAAAAACAAAAAATGCGCAATCAAACTATTTCAAGGTATGCATAAGTACTTAAAATTTACAAAATCAAAACCTGGGGAAAGGGAAGGAGGAGTGTAGAGAATTTTCATAATTCAATAATTCAGTGTGAATAAAAAAATAACAACTAAGCTGTTACAAAAAATATATTTATTTTAATTTTAGAGTGGCACACATGCAGAAGTTTACAATGAGTCAATGGACATGCAAACCGTTACTGTAGATGTACTAGCAAGTCATTTACGCAAGTTCTACTTTGAAGCCAAGACGAAAGAGTCCACGAATAGGAATAAGAATATGACATCTACATGTATTCAGGTAAACCATTATCACAAAAACACACTAAAAATTGCGTTCAGCTATAAATCGTCACCTCCAGGACACTGTTTGGGACAACGCTTTTCTTTATTTAATAATTTCATTTTTCTTTATTCAATAATTTCATTTGTCTTTATTTAATAGTTTTGTTTTTCTTTATTTAATATTTTCGTTTTTTCTTTATCTAATAATTAAGTTTTTCTATCTTTAATTTTGGTTTTGACTATTGGGCGTCTCTAAGTAACAAAATGTCTTCATTAAAAATCTGTAATTATCTAGTGTCATGTAAACGAATTTAAGTTGACGTAATTGAAACATTTGATGCCTTGTCATCTCAACTCAAGTCATCAGAATGTATAAGAATTTATTTAAATTAATTCTGATGATTTGTTCACCACAATAAGCTGCCTCTTGCAGAATCGTCATTCTATCTATAAAAAATACAAAGTATATTTTCAAAGATATTAAAGAGAGTTTCAAAGATATTAAAGAGAGATAATGGTCTATTTGAAAAAAGGGCTAAATGACTGAAAATTGTCTCGAATCTGAAAACCTATACTTGAGGGACTGACAAATGTCATCGGATATATTTTTATACAAAAATTAAACTCAATTAAAAATTTAAACCATTTCTATTATACTTTGGTAAGACGCTGTATGGAGTTGGTGCCTAGCTTTCTACACGTTACATCATTTTTAATTAAATAAATTTACCACAGATTGCCGGGAAAAGTGACATAACTTGAATAATTAGCATAAGAAATGTACAACAGAACTGTATGACGTTTTATTGATTCAAAAAGAAAAACTGGCTTAGATTTGGAGGTACATGTATCAGGTAAAGATTTAGAAATCAATGCAATAAAACAAATTCGTAAAGTGGACAACATTGAACCAGTTTTTATTCTGAACATCTTAACTTTTTCGTTGCATGCGTGTTTTCATATTATTGACCCCTTTTTGTCATTCCTTATTTCTGAACACGTATTATACAATGTAACATTTTAAACTGAAATGTAATAAAATTGCTAAAATTATACCTGGGTCCGCGTGTTTTTTCACGTACTGAAAAATCTTTAGCTTATTTCTAGAAAAATAGTTGACATGATTGAAAAAGGGACATTATATGGAAAGAAAATGAATTGGCATATTTGGGAGCGATAAACAATAATTCCGTATAATCTTTATGATCATTGTAAATAAAGTTTGGCGCTTTAAGTGTCCAAAAATTGCTTTGCGGTAAAAACAAATTACTGAATCATGACTCTCATTATCAACTGAGATTAGTAATTTGCCTTAGAAGTTTGTTTTGAAACCTATGATAATGGACTTTGGGATATGTTAAAACACGTTCGCAAACTTAAATGATTTTGGTTTTTAAAAACTCCGGAAAGAATTTGAACCGTAAGAGATGCCACGTATTTTAAACTTCATAATCTCAATATTAGTTTACTTGAAATCAAAACTAAATGTCTTAGCAATTAAGCGTACAGTATATGGACTTGTTTTAAGGAATGCAGTGTACTTGTATAATTTTGGATCATAGATTTTGTGGCACATAAAGATCAACTTTGCAATTGGATTACTGGAATGTTAAATAAAAAAGGCTATGCTGTTTACATTTGATTAATTTAACTTTCCTCGTTGAAATTACAAGTCAAAGTTAGTTTCCAAAGTTTCCTTGGATGGATACCGTGCATGGAAACCCTTTATAGAAGGCTAAAGTATTGTGCCTTCCGTAAAAAGTCTGCGATGATCAAAAATTAATTAAATAAACAATAATTTTAACTGCTCCTTACTTAAATTCCATTTACATGTATAATGGTGCAAGAAATTGAAATAATTTGCATAAGTATATATTTTCATTTGCACATTTCTTTTTAGCTCACCTGAGCCGAAGGCTCAAGTGAGCTTTTCTGATCTCATTTTGTCCGGCGTCCGTCTGTCTGTCTGTAAACTTTTCACATTTTCGACTTCTTCTCAAGAACCGCTGGGCCAATTTCAACCAAACGTGCCACAAAGTATCCTTCGGTAAAGGGGATTCAAGTTTGTTCAAATGATTGGCCACGCCCTCATTCAAGGGGAGATAATTGGGAATTAATGAAAATTTGGTGGCATATTTTAAAAATCTCAAAAACCACTGTGCCAGGAAAGATGAAACTTATGGGTAAACATCCTCAGGTAGTGAAGATTTAAGTTTGTTCAAATCATGACCCCCGGGGGTAGCGCGGGACCAAAATGGCCGACCAAGCTTTTACATAGATATATATATAGGAAAATTCTTTAAAAATATTCTTCTCAAGAATGACAAAGCCATAGTTCAACATATTTATAAGGGAGCATGCTCAGGTACTGTAAATTCAAGATTGTTCAAATCATGACGTCCCGGGGTAGGGCGGGGCCAAAATGGACCACCAAATTTTAACATAGAAATATATAGGAAAATTCTTTAAAAATCTTCTTCTCAAGAATGACAAAGCCAAAATTCATCATATTTATATGGAAGCATGCTCAAGTAGTGTAGAATCAAATTTGTTCAAATCATGACCCCCCTGGGTAGGGCGGGGCCAAAATGGTCGACCAAATTTTTTAAAGATATATATAGAAAAATTCTTTAAAAATCATTTTCTAAAAAATAGCAAATCCATGATTGGTCATGGGACTACTTTTGGATTAGAACTTTACAATAAAAAGCCATTTTCTACTTTTTCCTAGCCATATTGCTCTGGTGAGCGATGTGGCCCCTGGGCCTCTTGTTTAAATGAACCTATTGAAGAGAAAATGTCCAATTCTGTGTGAATTTAGGAAATCAAAGCGTGCTCGAGTCACATGGCGCATTAATATCTATATGTAGAATATGAAAACATTTAAAAGAAGGCCACAGTGTTTAAAAATATCTTGATAAATGACGAGGTTCTCTTTAAGTATTTCTCATTCTTTTAACATGCAAAATGACATTTCTTCTATAAATTTCTCAGTAAAGATGTTTAAATTTAAGTAGTTTGGTACTTGGACATGCTTGTCTGCTTTCTTACTCAACATGTAAATATACACCCAAATATGACAAAGCACGGATATTTTGATGAAGGTGGAGAAGAGATTACTGAAGATAATTATTGCTTTTTGATAAGGAAATAATTGAAAAATCTTGGCTTATCAAAGGCTGTTTCTTGGAGGCTGTTTCTGATATTACTAAAACAGGTCTGATGAAGAATGAGTAAGCTAAGCCATCATTGACTTCACTTCCAAAGCCGGAGACTTCAGCTGAACCGGAGATAATATTTCGCTCCTTTATTGAAGGTGATTTAAATGGCTTCTAGGCCGTCAGAATCAACCAAGAAAAACACAAAATGCGCAATCAAACTTTTTTAAGGTCTAGATCTAGTAAATAAAAGGTGCCTACAGATTTATCAAACTTGAGAAACAAATTCCGTTTATGATACTTTATAAATTTAGCTTGGTCAAATAAGGTGTTTTGGGGAATATTTTGTTGGTACACAAGATGAAAATCATATCTCAAACTGTAATTTTCAATGAAAAAGTAAGAAAACCAGTCATGGAAATGGGAGTTTTTTTTTCTATTCGACAAAGGAAATGTATCCAGATTGCCTACAGTCTCTCAGGAAACGGTAATTAGTATGTTCTTGGCCTCCTCTTTAAGCTTATATCAAATTTAACATAGGTATCCGGTTTACTTTTCATATGATTTCAAACAGAATGACATGAAAATACCTTATTTTCTACATAATTCTGCTA